AACGGAAAATGGATCCGTGCTTTGCTTTAAAATCGGAATATAATGGCTTCTTTCCACGCAGAAGGGATTTCACCGGAAAACCAGATAGAGTTATACAGGGAAAGCAGGGTTTTTTGTGTTTCAGAAAGCAGTTGTTTTAATATTTCGTATACTATACGGTCCGAACCTCGAGCTGATTTATTGCAAACATGTAGCGATGCTTGTAACTCGGCCAGACTGAAAGGGTTGTTGTACGACTCATGTTTAGAGGATTTCCGCTGAAGTTTCTCTTTTTCGATTTTTCTTTTGTGTCGCTGAAAAGCTACAGTATAATGCAAGAAACTGGACACCTCTTCGAAGTGGGCACCGAGGAACTTCGCCTGGTCTTCCAAGGTGTCCCCTTGTGTGTCTACGAGAGGTAGTGTAGATGCGTGTCGTCCTGCTACCTTGCGAACCATGTTCCAGACTTTAGTTTCTTGTGTATATGAAGTGATTCCTGACAAAAACTTATGCCAGCTTTCCCTCCTAGCCTGCTGGTATGTACTCCTGCCTTGGGACTTGATTTTCTTAAAACTTTCAAGATTCTCTGCTGTCGGCGAGTCCCGTAGCGATTTCCGCGCTTTGTTTTGCTGTTTGCGTGCATTGCAACATTCAGTATTCCACTATGGGGCATGTTCGTTGCCAGGCAGTCCAGAAGTTGGCGGGAGGCATTTCATCGCAGCGTCGGTCGGAAAAGCAGAAAAGTATTGTACAGCTGCATCTATGTTTAAACCAGATATGTCAGTCCAACTTAAGTGAGTAATCTGCGGGAACTGTTCCCAATCAGCTTTGTCAGTGATCCATCTGGGGACCTGTGGGCGATATTCATTTGATATGGGTGTGCTTAGCGTTACGGGAAAGTGGTCACTTCCGTAAGTATTATTGATGACATTCCATGTCAGTAAAGGAAGGAGGGATGGCTAAGGTACTCGGCTGCTGACCCGCAGGGCGCGGGTTCGCATCCCGGCTGCGGCGGCTGCATTTCCGATGGAGGCGGAAATGTTGTAGGCCCGTGTGCTCAGATTTGGGTGCACGTTAAAGAACCCCAGGTGGTCTAAATTTCCGGAGCCCTCCACTACGGCGTCTCTCATAATCATATAGTGGTTTTGGGACGTTAAACCCCACATATCAATCAAAGGAAGGAGGGATGGTGAGACAATGCTGAGGTCTACTGACGAGTAGGTATTGCTGGCGATGCAGTAGTATGTGGGCTCTTTCCGATTTAAAAGGCACGCGCCAGAAGTAAAAAGGAACTGTTCAATCAGGCGACCTCGAGCATCGCAGCGAGAGTCACCCCATAGATTGCTCTGTGCATTGAAATCTTCAAGGAGGATATAAGGTTCTGGAAGTTTATCTATTAGGAACTGGAATCCACGTTTTTCAAGATGGTAGTGTGAAGGTATGTAGACAGAGCAGATGGTCACGAGTTTGTTCAGAACTACACAAATAGCCACTGCTTCAAGAGATGTTTCGAGTAGTAGATGAGTACATGCAATCCCTTGATTGACTTTAATGGCCACACAACCAGATGACGTGATGGCTTCATTCCTGTCCTTTCAAAAAATGATATACTGGTGTAGAAAATTAGTGATCTTGGGTTTTTGGTGTGTTTCTTGTACACACAGAACTTTTGGTGACTGTTTATGTAAAAGTTCTTGAATATCGTCAAGGTTTCTCAGTAGTCCTCTGATGTTCCACTGTAAAATTTGTGTCTTCATTTTTAATGTAGTTAAGTGCTGTGTGTACAGAAACGTTGCCTTAAGTTACAGGGCCTGTTGGGGCCCTGTAATACGGGGTTTCTCTTTCTTGCTTCGCTCGAAAGAGCTGCGCCTTTCCTTCGGCGTCTGGGGCGCTGGAGGAGTATGGCTTGTGTCCATCACCTCTTCTGAGGTGGTGGATGGTGCCTGCTTGGCAGGCACGTTTATGGCAGTTTCGGACCTGACTGTACTTGCAGTGGTCCGTGGTCCAGCAGTCTCTAAAGTCTGCTAGCCCTTTTGAACAGGAGGCGGAGCAGTACAGGCTGCTCCAGCCGGAGGCACTTCTGGCACAACCGCAGTCACACTTGGTGTGAATCTCGCGGGTGCCGAAAGACGTGGCACGGCGCGTCGACGCGCCACGTCGGCGAAGGAAGGTTCAGAATTATTGTGTGTAGAAAAACGTTGATGTGCCTCTTGAAATGACAGGTTGAACTTGACCTTAAGTTCTAATGTTTGTTTCTCTTGTTTCCATGCAGGGCATGATCGGGAGTAGGCAGCATGATCTCCTTCACAGTTAGCGCAACAGGCTTCTGAAGTGCACTTTTTGGATACATGTTCACAAGATGCGCACGTTTGGGATCCGTGTCCGAAGCGCTGACACTTGAAACATCGGTGAGGATTCGGTATATAAGGTCTGGCACGAAGCTTGCAGTAACCAGTTTCAATGGAGTCAGGAAGGTTGCTTGTACCGAAGGTAACTATGATGTGCTTTGTTCGGATCTGTTTATTATCTCGCCTCATTATTATTCTTTGTACTTTCACTACATTTTGTTCTTGCCAGCCTTCGAGCAATTCACTTTCAGACAGCTCGAGGAGGTCATCATCAGATATAACACCACGCACTGTGTTCATCGACCTATGTGGGCCCACTGATATTGGGATGTTATCAAATGAAACGAGTTTTGTGAGCTTGTCGTACTGAGTCTTGTCGCAAACTTCTAGAAGGATATCGCCATTCCTCATCTTAGTTACTTTATAGCCAGGGCCAATTGCATCTGTGAGTGTTTTTGAGACAATAAATGGTGAAATAGATCGAACCATTTTCATTTTGGCTGTGGATTACATGGTACTTGGGGAAGGTCTGTTTAGGCTGTGCAGTAAAGAAGCTGTCATTGGTGCGCCACCTTTTCAGGCGGCAATCAGGGGGTGCGGGAAAAGGGTTTTCCATAAGAAACATTTTAAAATCCGCGGCGATGGTGGCCACCCACCACCGAGCCCAACAAGGGGACGCTACAAGGTTGAATAGTGAACACTTGGAGACGCCAGCCATGCATCGCCGCTATAACCGAATATAACTATCCAAGGTTGGGTAACTACACAGGGTTGACCCTCGCCGCCAGAAAATTTGGAAGTAAACGAAAAGAAAAGATGACAGGACGGATAAAAAGTGAGAAATAAAGATGAAGATGTAGGTAGAGGGAGATAGGAAAAGGCAACTGCCGATATACCCTGGGTGGGGCAGCCCAGGGGTGCCGTTTACGTGAAGCCGGGGCCAAAGAGGTGTGTTGCCTCCGCCGGGGGCCTTAAAGGTCCAATCACCCGGCGTCGGCTCAACCCCCAGGATCCCCTTTTCCCCGGACACGGCAAAGCCACGCACGGCTAGGCGTGGGAGGGAGTCAAAACCTCCCGTTAGCTCGAGCCCGTGGTGTCGCTACCCACCAAATGCCTGCTTGCACAGACGCCCCTGCGGGGGCTTCAAAACTTTTCATAATCCATGAGGAAACTCCTTGCTTCCACTTGAGCTTCCACTATGCCATTTCGGCAAGAGCATGCATGGGGAAAAAAAGGTCTTGTTCCGTCCAGCTGAACTAAGCACATATCGATGCTCGTCCCTGCTGCGACCACGCAAATTCTGCACAGAATATTATTAGAATCGTCCACAAATTTTCAAGACCTCGCACGTGCGCTGGATGTGGTAAAATGCGAATTGGGCACATCACTGCACTCAAAATGTTCAAAACCAACGTGACCGCTTTGTTGCTACCTCGCGTTCTCTGATTGCGCCGTCTTCCCGTAATTTGTGCTGCGTTTCGATGAGACGTTCGCGACATAACAGCATTTATCGTGGCTACCCACGGCGCGTTTCCTTCTTCAAGTGTACGACATCCGGGATGTTCGCCCTGTTGGCGTTGAACTGGAAGCCCGCTTCGCACTAACCACTATCGACGGCATTTTCACGTAGTGTATTTGTGTGGTTTACGGTCGTATTCAGCGGGCAATGTCCAGCATGCGCCGTTTTTTCGAAGGCCTTCTGCTCATTTTGTGCCTCCCGAAGCTCTCGTGGAATATCCCTGGCCGCGACGAGCTGGATTCCCCTTTTGAAATAGTCATCACAGCTACATCTAAAATGGAAAACGAAATGACTATAGATGCAGCGTTTCGCTGTTTAGAATACTGTCAGAACACTGAACAACTCTGCTTGTATCATCGCTGCAGCCCGAGATTTTTAAAGAAATGTGCACCTCTTCGTGCACAAAGTCATCTTCAACTTTGCTAAAAATATTTGCAGTCTACTCCGAAGCCCCAAGCGACCGCGACATTATGTTAGGTTCTAGTCACAATTGTTGCCCCACCCACACTAATAAAAGAAGAAGAGCTCTGAGAAAAAAAAAAAGGTAAGAGTCAGTCAACAATTAGGATAAGTTCGTTCATGCATCCGCAGTGCGTGCGTGGTTAAAAAGCAAATGTTAGCAATGCGAAAAGGTTCTCTTTGCTTGGATATATAAGAATACATTTCTTTGGTTTAAGTAATATCCAAAGGGGCTATTCCTTTAAACAAATGTTCACCATCACTCGGTTCTCACACCGAAAAAACTTTTTCCGATATTTTATCGGCCATACTGCCTTTATTCTGACCTCTACATCACCTGACGGCTGACTACTTTCAACATGGGACGCCATGTACTGTTAAATGTGTTTCTGACAATATTTTAGAAAGCACTATGTTTTAATGCGCTACCACATAAATCTACGACCTCTCCATAGGAGGTGTCAAATTTTGATATTTCAGAAATGTCGCCTGAAAATTGAGTAATATCTGGGTGACGTGCCACGTTTACAGTGTACTTGGAATAAACTGCAGGAAAGGCACCGAGTGAAATTGTACTAAAGGAACCTTGTCCGGACATTTGGACAAGCATTGAAACAAGTCACATTGTTCTGTCATTTACTGAACACCCTCCCTACTCTAAAAAAAATGCTGCTGTGGAAGAAAGTTTGGCGTACATTTATGAAGGCTTTGATGACAGAGTTTGTGTCGAGAGGGTTGACGTCCCGGAAGTACGTCTCATCCACGGAGTCCACAACATCCGTCGGCGGTCGGTTGTAGCGAAGCGCGCTGCTCAGGAACCTCGGCAGCAGTTGGTCACGCACGTACGTGGCACTGCGCGCCGACCGGTCTCTCAGGTATCCCGACAATACTGGGCACAAAGATTAGAAAATAAAGCATCAAGTCATCATCAAGTCATCGGTGGACACGTCGGATACATGACGCAGTATACTCAGGTTCACGCTTCTACTCAATGGTGCTTAATAAGTAGTCACATACTAGCACTAACTGCCTTTTTGTTTATTAAAAAATATTTGAGGAGAATTAGGTTCCTATGTATGGCGCCTGCCATTCCTTTTCTCTGGGACAATGTTTGCCATCATAAAGTAGTGAGAAGAACGAAACTATATAAGTAGACGCATGGACAAACACTCACGCACTGAGACCCAGAACGTCCACGAAACTAATAAAAAAAACTCAGCATAAAATGTCTTCGCCATAGTGCCTCCTTACTTGCATTCATTTCCCACACTTTCACAAGTATAAAGTGTATGAAACAGCGTTTAAAAGTTAAGCTGACACGCACAGCACCGTATCTGGCTAGAATGATGTTTCAATTCCGTGAAATTCTGCAGTCCACTGATTGAAACATGCACAAATTATGGGCATGCTGTTTAACCGCAGTGCGCAATTTCAAAAATCTGCTCTCCCACACCTTTGTGTTTGAAGTAGAGGACGGCCACGTGCCAATCACAAACAGCACTCAAGAAGGAATAGTAAACAGGAGCTCTGTAAACGTTCCAGCACCTGTATCTCAAACGGATGTTTCATAATACATAAAATACGCGACCCACTCATCGCAGTAGTTGGTGTGGCTTTTTTGTTGTGCTTCTGAGCGCAAGGTGGTGGTAGTCCAAGAGGAGGGGGGGGGGGGGGGCGAAGTCGGCATCTTCAATGCGATTACAATTATTTAGGATTCCCTAAATGAACGGAAACATCAGATGCTGGTTTTTGCACGTCAAAAAACGAAATTAAATTGGCTCATCCGCAATGCCTGGTATTGAAGTTTGATCACCGAAAACTATGTCTTCAAACAACTGAATCAGTTCTCGAAAAAAAAAACAAGAAAAGAAACAAACGAAAGGATAACAGGAGTGGTGCCATTATTAGTTTTTAACTGGGCTCTCAGTCCAGGAGGGTGCTTCATTACTCAGACATCCTATATTCATGATACCAGCCTTTACACATGAATGTGATGAAAAAATCACCTCGTACTGATGCTGGTGCTGTACTGAAGCTGCCTGCTCTCAATCTCGCTCTTTTGTTCCGTGGAGTCTTATCTAAGCAGGTTAGTGTTAGTAACAAGCGGCTTTCGTACAAACATCACGTGCTCCGTGACGCCCTCTAGCAAAATAAAAGTGTTCCACACCTGCCGCTTAGGCTGCGAGTTGCGCTGTGTAACACGTTGAGCACACATAAATACTCAAAAAAGAAGTAGACGAGGGAGCACCCTGCGTTATATCTCAAATGGTAAGCGTCGGATGCGCAAATCGTAGGTTGGGGGTTTGGACCCGAACGACAGAATGGGTGATTTTCCGTCCGCTTTATTTACTTTCGCTTCTAGAGACAATCATTACGCTGCAGTTAAGAAACCACAAATAACGTCTCTTACTCTTTTCTTGTCTTAATTGCCTCTGGGAGTCGTTAGTTAAGTGCTTGATTAGTGCCACTGGGTCACACGGTCTTGACAAATCGAGTACAGTGTTAAGGTAGATTGCACTTACCAGGGAAAAAGAAGGCGGTCTCGTCTTTGTTGACACCGGCGATGAGCGGCACGCGTCGGAACTCACCGCGCTCAAGTAGGACGGCTGGCTCATCCGGCAAGAAGGCACCCTGCGGATTGAACTTCTCCACTACGGGCGCCGTCCTCACGGGAAAGTCACCAAACACCTGGAGTTGTCGCGTGAATGACGAAACAGTTGCATTGGATGGGGAAGTACGTGTGCGCAGGCCGATAACACCTTTTGCCAGGTAGTACACTATCCCCCTTTCCAAAATTTCTTTTGAGGAGAAAAAAGACAGAGCTACGCACAACTGGTGAACTATTTTCTGCGCAAAGACGTTCGCAGCATAACCAAGACGACGTCGGCGATTGTAACAATGATGTAATGGAGACTACTATAATGACAACGCTTCAGATACTAACATCTGAGAAAAAGGAGGCGCTCCCATTGCGAGCACGTATTCAACATTTGTTTAGTATCATATCAATTGCTACATGACCTTCGCATTCCACAAAATTTCACCTCTTATACGTCTATCTTCCCCCGAGTCTTTGTACTAGAAAGTGATTAAACGTAGACTATGAGCATACTGCATAATACGTAACATAATAAATGAGATGCTCAGATTGTACCAATAACGTCTTACACACTAAACAAAAAATAATGCATACAGCAGCAGGTACACAAGAATGCGCCTAATATTCGTATATGCTACTTCATGCCCAAAGAATGTCACTCATGTAACAGAAAATCGTTCTATTGTTTGTTATAATTTGCAGTTCTAGCGCATTCATTACCAAGTTCTTCGATAAGTGAACTAAGGGCTGTATTTTTAAGGGTGAAGTAGTCAGCACGTCGTCCAGAAGCAATGAAAAGTCTATAGTCATTCAACGCCATACCTTGCACAAAGCCAGGATGGCGATCGCTTTAGGGTTAACGGATGTTTCGAAGAATAGCTACGTTGAAAATCCCTTGATAATATAGCCTGCTTGTGCAAGTTTCAAATGCGATCACGTAATCCAAGTTAATAGTTTTGAATAACCACACACAGACAAAAAAAAAAAGACTGGGAACACTCGTGAGCCATCAAGTGGCAACAGGCCACTGCATATGGGTCGCTAGAATTGCCACTAAGGGGAGAACGCGTAGCGCAAGTGCACTTGTAATAAGCATTGGTCTGCTTTCTTCTGAAATGAACACAAATGTAAACTCTTGATAACACATTAATAGCACGCATGTTATTAACCTTTAGTCCGTTTAAAACCTTTCTGTGACCTTCTGCAGGTGTAAGTCAAAATGTTTCTCGCTCGTCTCCTGCTTCTCATTTCGATCTTGTAATCTAAATGAGCAAAAGTGGCCAACTTTGGTGATGACTGTTCGTCGTCTCGGGCGACGGCTTTTCAAAGACTCATGTTCTCTAGTGGCGCTCATAGAATGATGATATTCACAATATGCACTGACTGTCTACGACCCTTCCATCATCTTCCGGCCACTTTAGCCACGGCTTCGAGAGCTGCAGTTTTTGTGCACCTGGCCCAATCGAATACACACCTTGCTCTCCTGCTGTATGCGCAGGAGCTCACTGCTTGGCGTCTGCATGAGGCAGTCGATGAGCGCGAACGAAGGGCCATCGGTCGGGCATCCCGCGCCCTGGGCCACGATGCGCTTGAACTGCGCCGGCTCGGGCTCCACGGCCCAGTCACTCAGCGGACTGCCACTCTCGGCAATGGCACGCACGAACAGCCCTGGACAGATTTGAAAAAACAGATTATTTGCTCGTTTGGTTCACATCCGAAAAGCCTACAACGCTTATTGTTCGCAGCGCTTCTGAAGGCACTTTTGAAACATAATCAAGGCATGAAGTGACGGGAAATGAAACAATCCTAGCAACGAAACAATATAACGTCGCAGGTTGAAGAACTTTCAAGTTTCACGCAAAAAAACAAAAAAAGAAAACAAGAATTAAGAAGACGTATCAATTTACGAAATTTAACTAAACATATGATGACCTTTTTTTATATACGAAAAAGGTGTCCAGAAGTTGCCTACGGCGCATAACATGACTTCAATACCAGCTGAAGATTTCTAGAAGAGGGCGACATTAAATAAGTACTGGCACAGTATTGAGGCAGCCCAAAAGGGACATTTTTTGTTTCCATATTGTGCACTATCAACATTTTCAGCACACCGGAGCCAGACAACACGTATGAAATATTACACTTTAATTTTAAAGTTTCCTTCACCCAGCATCTACAACACCGCCCCACCGCAGTGGTAATTATCACAAGTTAACACAGTTCACTAGCAATGCGACATCTGTGTCCTGCATGCCACTTAATAGCAGAAATAGAAGTCAGAGTATCTGTGCGAGAATTCACTGCTCGTTGTTTAAGTCTTCCACGTGCGACTGATGGCAAACTGACAGCTGTTGATAGTTTGTCGTCACAGTGTTCCTATGACATCGGAGTTGTCTTTATACGTCACCGTGAAGCCATCTTCTCGATACTGAAACCGAAATGGCTGTTAGAAGGTAGCGATAATAAAAATATTGTAATGCAACGCATAGATAATGCTCGAGATATATTCAGTGCATTCCTAAGGATAATAACACTCTTTCTACAGTTCTCGACACCCGTGTTTCTATTTAAAGTGACAAGCCGAAAATATTTGAAAGTCATGTGAGTACTCCTTTGATGGCACAACGTATCCCATGTAATACTTAGTTATATTACAAAAATACTATTACTTAGATTTTTTTGTATAATTGCGCTTTAGGATGAATGTAGCAACTGACAAACTGAAGTCAGTGAGTTGGAAAAGCACATTTATTTAGTGACGAATTTTGAAACTACCACCAGCCTTGAGACAACCGCCCTTGGACTCTGGGCAGAATGTATTGCTATTCCACTTTGATATTTTTGTTCCTATTCGTCTTATTGAAATGCAATTTCTAGGCATTACAGAACAAAGCAGGATAGGTAACTGAGTTTGTCGCGCAACTTGGGTATGAGCACCTTGAAAGCAGTGCCACTCCCAGAGAGAGAGAGAGAGAGAGAGATTAGTGATAGGTAAGGGAACCAACAATAATGAGGCTCAGTTTTGCTACCCCGCACAGTCGAAGTGGGCAATAATTCTTTCTGTGCACATATACGATGCGATTTTCATAATTTGCCCCCAAGTTATAGGAGGGTGCATTAATAAAAACTGGTATGATAACTATTGGATCATACGTTCAACCTCCACCTCTTCAGGTAATACATGGAGAACAAAGAGCAAAATTAGGCTGTTTGGGGCAATAGCCGCAGGGGAAGCTCTTACATAACAATCTGTGACGAACAATACATGCAGAAAGCTGAAACACGTCATGTCTAATCATCGCCATGAATCACTTGTTCGCTTTCCATGTGTCATGTGCCTGCCCCTTTGTCTTTGGAACAAAAAAAAAATGATCGAGACCAAGCTGTCACCGACTACTGCTCCCGCACACAAACAATTATCTCTTCCAGGACACGATGTAGTCAGCGATGACTGCCCTTTTCTCGGAGGTGTTTTTTGTCTTACGTACAACTCTGCAATTTTTTTTTTTCATGAATGAGTGGTGCAGTTCTCTCTGAATGAAAGCGAGCCAAGTTTGTAGAACCCTCTGAGGTCTGGCGCTGAGCCAACGGGTCACGCCTCTTTCCGGCGTGCGAGCATATTCTTGCCTCGTGCTATGTCAGAAAAACTGACAGAGATTACAAACAGATTACTCTTTGAAATACAGGAAGCGCGCGTTCCCAAGAAATAAATGACACTCGCAAGAGTCACATGGGCCGAGAATAAAGCAAACGGAGTGGCATGGCACATAAACACAGCACAGGCGGACCAGTTCATTGCGATGTGACTTTTTGTGTCCAGTCTGCTTTTGATGCTCGAAGTCCTACATTACCGAAAATGATGTAATAAATAAGGACTTATTTTAAGACATATCTTCTTTTTGTACTTCGGAGTGTGGTGCTTTAAAATATTGGATGCTTCAATTATAGAAGCCTTGAAAAGGTTTGAAGCATCAGAACAACCGTAAAACAAAAAAAACAGAAACAAACAACCAAAACTAAGTTCTGGGCGTAATTCCTCGAACACATAGAACCTTGATGTGATTACCATATGCATGCATTGTCTTTGAGGTGGCCACCAGGGCATGTGCATGAGGAGCCACTATATGTGGCAACCAAAGGGAGGCAGAGTTGTGAATCTGTTTGGGCCACTTCATTACCTTTCTCCGAGCACAGTTGTGTGGAACTATAAATTGCTGCATATAAGCCGGCCCTAAGTCTCTTATGAACTACGTCATTCCTCATTTTGGTCTATCGTATTTCTTCATTCAATTAAATGCTGCACTTTGGCGCGTGCGACGGCTTTTACACGATGCATTCGGTGCGTCGTATGAGTTGCCTGACAACATCCTGTGCTATGTACCAGTACTTCGGTTACCAGTGTGACAAGGGGTGGTGCACTCTGGTGCAATAATTCCAATGAGTGCAACAATGCATTTTAATGCAGCTTCAGTTGTCCGATGACAGTTGCTATAACATTCCCGCATGCGACATAGTAATCCAGTTCTGACATTTGCAAGGATGCACCGAAAGCAAGCTAACACCTAAAAAATGACGAATTTCTGACTGCTTTCTAGAGCACGCATTTAGAAGTAATGGTTTTTCAAGCTTTGCGGAAAACCATGAATAGACACAAAGTGCAATGAATGACTAGTTTTACACTTATTTTGCACTTATGACTGAATTGTTTTGGTTCAAGTTCGCAGCATCACTCCAATTTATTGTTTTTGTTGAAGTATATGCATTGTTGTGATACGTACAATGCCACTGGCACATTCGTAATCTAGCAACCATATTGTTACGGGAAAGGTCAACTTAATCTGTTACGGGTGATCTAGCTAACAACAGAGCGCACAATGTAGAAGGCCAACAGAGCAGCTCAAGATGGTGACGATGATGTTACCCGGAAGTATGGCACAACCCACAACGATGGATCGCCCAAGAACCGTTGCGGCAGTAAAATTTGTGAAACAAGAATAAAGAAATAACAAAAAGGAGAAAGTGAGAAAAGAAAAAGGGGGTGAATAATACGTGAAAAAAATATCTAAAAAGAAACAAAAAATTGAGGGTGATTCAGGTGTTTTTCAATACAATGTTACTAGAGTTCAACCTGCAAGAACGATGTTGTCGTCTTCCTCCACTGCATGTCATTTAAGTGTCTGTGCCGGAGTGACAGTTTAGTACACCTGACAGTATGACGGTAGCATTTTAAACGCATATAAAAAGGCGCTTCTTTTTGCTTGTCGTGCTTCACCGTCAGGTGCCATTAAAAAAAATTCTGTCTGCCTAGTCACTGCAAGACATGAAACGCTGACAAGTTCTAGCATTCCTATATAGTCTAATATTCAGGGTGTTTCAAGAAATGTGTTCAATATTATTTAAAACTCAGAAAAAGACGCACTTTGCTCGCTGTCATGGCAGTTGCTTTTTTTGTAGCAGCAGGTATCTTAAGAGGCTTGAATGCGGTACTAGGAACAGTTATTAGGAAAGTTAATATAATGAACTTTTTTAATTAGTGGAGTTAGGCAGTTACACTGTAAACAGAAATAAGCCGAGATGGGAGTAAACGACTTGTGGATTGATATGTGGGCTTTAACGTCCCAAACGCAACATATGATTATGACAGACGCCGTAGTGGAGGGCTCCGGAAATTTCGACAACCTGGGGTTCTTTAACGTGCACCCAGATCTGAACACACGGGCCTACAACATTTCTGCCTCCATTAGAAATGTAGCCGCCACAGCCGGGATTCGATCCCGCGACCTGTGGGTCAGCAGCCGAGTACCTTAGCCACTAGACTACCGCGGCGGGGCTAAACGACTTCTCCTCTAGCGCATGCCCCGATGGGGTTTTTATAAACACCGTCTGGAGGAAGTAAAAAAATTACTCCCCAACAGGAGGGGGTTTTGGATGGATTTAGGGGAGTTTTTATTTACATCCATCAGAGAACTTTTTCTAATCAGTAAGTGAGTAAATGTTCCCATCAACTGAGAAAAAAAATACGTCAGCAGCCGTACCATGCGCAACCGTAACTTTAATTTCATTACCTTCGAAGCACACAATATTGACACAAACATGTACAGAGCTAATTAAACGACGAAGCGCGTTTAGAATCATAGGACAAGGGAAGGGACAAAACGGAGCTCTAGTCAATGTACAGAGCGTTCACGTAATGTTACAACAATCAGACTCACCACAGCCTCCCACTCACACTGCACACCTACGGGTATCGCTCGCTGTACTTCGTGCCGACTGGTTGTGCCCCCGCGCTCTCCGACGACATCGCAGCTCTGGCCGAGTGGCTCGCCCTACGTCATCTCCTGACGCCGACAAGAGCTCTCGCTGAGTGGTGCCCCGTCCTAGGACTATTGCGACCGTGTCCATCTTTCCTATCTTCTTCTTACTTTCGTATTTGGCAGTCTCTGCCTCTCTTTCTATCTCTACACCTTCAATTCCTCCCTATCCTTTTAATCCCTTCTTACCCCTATCCCTCGTGAGCTACTGTTGAGATGAACTCCGCCTGAGAGACAGTTACGGGGCTCGCTTAATCTTCTTTCTTTTCATTTAGGAATCACTCCCCCCCCCCCCCCCCCTCTTCACACCTACCGGGTATATACAGACACCATATTCTGACCTCCCAAGTAGCTCTCGAGGGACCCTTTTTTTGCTAAGAATTAAGCAATAAACATGCAAGGCGTAGGTATGAAGTTGTGGCGCCCTAATGTAAGCCTTTCAACAAACACGTTTTACCCTAAGCCTGCCTTACATTCAATATTTTTTTAACTATAGCGAAATAGTTGGTACTCTGTCGCACGGGCTGATTTTGCATTAGCAGTACTGTGTGTGAATCTGTAAAATTCACTTAATCGTACACAAAGCCCGAGCGACCTTGCATGAACTCATCAACGATGCACATTCAGCACCTCTAGCGATGAACCGTGGTACACCGTCGCTACCGCGTTCGACGACTAGGCCTCACTCACAAGTACGGCACGGTGATTCGATGAATGACAGCGGGCGATCACAAAATGCTTGCTGATGTGCAGTTTTCGTCTCGTGATTTTTCCCATGCACAGAAATAGGTGTCCGCTATCCACGCAGTTTAAGCTACGGAGCGATGGACATAAACGAATGAGACGGTTCGCAGCCGCCGTTCCTGTTGCTCACAAGCATTATTGCATGGGCATGCATGCTGTACGCAGTTTCTGTGTGTCTCAGCCTCGTTCGGCGCTCGCCTTCGAGTTCGTCATTTGACAGCTGCCGTCGCAAGTCGAAGAAGACTGTTATTTATACCAGAAGCCTTTGTTTTTTTGTGGAACACATGCTTCGCCTCGCCGGTTGTCGGTGCTAGCTCGTAGAGCTCGCCACGGCGGACGGCGCCCAGTGCGAACTCGCTACGACGCCAGCTTGATACCGACGGCATAGCGAGGCCTTCTTACCGATTAGACGTTGCAGCTGGTAAAATACCGGTGTCACTCCGAGAAGCCACCATCGGCGAAGACAGGGCGGGCGCGTCGCCGGCGCAACTCTCACATCGGTTGCCGGCCAGCCTGCCATGGTCGAGCGAAGCCTACTTCAGACCGCTTCGATGTTTAGACAGTGAAACTCCAAGAGTGATCGCTGATGATCGTAACAGCTTACTTTTGTTACAATTAAATTATTCTTCGAATTTTTTCGTAACTCGGCTCTTTGAAGCACGGCATTCGCGGCGTTTCGTTAAGGAATTGGATCGATGTCTAGCGTGGTTCAATGGTATGAAATGTCTTGAGATTTTCACACAAACACCAACCAGTCTTTGCAAATCTTCGCTGCACTGATAATTTCGTTGCCTGTCAACAGATACTCACACAGTCAGCCACAAAAAAGCCACAGCTTCGCCGGAAAGGCGAAGCAATGAACGCGATAGCAACAAATTGAAAGGTCACGCGCAAAATGGAAAGAAGATCGAAATATTCCATGTGTTCTTAACGCACAAATGACTCACAAAACATACTCACAGGTACAGATGCAAGCAAATAAGCACCTCATTTGGTACTTTGCTGTGTCTGAAAAGCGCGTGTTTTTCGCAAACGGAGACTGCAATGACTGAAGTGACCTTTGTGGCCCCGGAAGCTACAGCAGAATCGTTTCAGGTAAAGCCCGAGGCCAACCAAAGCATACGACCTTCCCCTCCTCGCTGCCACGAGATAAGGGCGCGTGAAGGAGCATCGCTCCCCTTCTAAAAAAATACGCGTAGATTAGAGCGGGCGCCGCCGCGCGATGTGGCGACGCGCGCTCATTGCGCCATCTTGCTGGTAATGCTGAAAACACAATTCCCCCTGAGATGCTCGGGAGCAGTGGTAAGTGATAGATATAAGTAACTTGCCGTTTGAACGGTCAAGGATGTACTCCGGGGTGGCTCAGTGGTTAAAGCCTGACTTTCACGACGCAGAGGTACCACGTTCGATTCCGCGCGCCGGAATGTTTTGTTGTAGATGTTTTTCTTTCTTTCTTACGTATTCATAAAGACATGTACGTATACATACACGGTGCATGACATCGACGTCAACGCCGACGCCGGCGGCAATATCCAGCCGAGAGTGTCCATATAATTGCTATCGCAATAAAAGCACTCGTGTTTCACACCAACGTGCAAACAGATGCCCGTACAAACAAACACACGCACTTCATGACCAAAAAGGGTTTTAAAACTCTCATAGGGAGTTTGTGACCACGTGACCTGAAACTTCTTGAGGAGTTTAACAAGGTCATGTCGTTCATAAACTCTGTCATTAAGCAGGGGGCGTTTTCCGACGACATGTGCCGAGTTCACTCTATACTAGGGAGTGAAAAATTGAGGCAGAGGGGTTTTGGGGGCTCATATACTGGAGAAACTCCCATCTCGGCTAATTTTCGTATACAGTGTAAGTCAAATGGGAGAATCGAAGTCGTTGGTGCGAATCACCGATTGCCGCTTCGATGTTTCCGAAAAGTGGCATCTTGTAATAACTGCGAGTTAATGAAATTCTCCCCAATTTGCAGTGAAACTGAAACGCTAATCAGCGCAACTAAAAATATTGAGCGTTGTTACATCAACCACAAACTGACTTCGTACTTAGGTGTGTGGGCTGCACTTGTAATTGCAGCATGCATGACACACATACGTTAACGAACGGTGAAAAATCGCACTCATGTAACTACTGTTTTGAACAGTGACGTCATTGTAGTCGTCTCCTTGTTGCGCTCATTGGTCGTTCGGTTTCAGTTTTGCCGCAGAATTTACGAGAACTTCATTATTTTTTAGTTATTACTAGAGGCCACTTTTCCGAAATCTCAAAGTGGCAATAGGTTTTTCGCATGAGAGACTTCAATTCTCTTATTTGACATTACTGCCTACCTCCACTAATTAAAACGTTAATTACTATAGCTTTCCTAATTACTGTTAGAAATTATTTTTTCAACCCTCTTAAGATGCCAGTCACCACAATAAAACACAAGTGCAACAGTGAGCAAATAGCGCCTTCTGATTTTTAAAAAATTGGACACATTTCTCAAAACACCCAGAATAGAACTCATTTTGAAAAAGGCCGGCGCAGCGACACGAGGAAAGAAAGACCGAGAGACAAAGAGCTTTCTGTCTTTCTTTTCTTATGTCGTTGCGCTGCACTTTTCAAAATGAGTACCATTAACAAGGTAGGCTGAATCAAAGTACTTCTCGAACCCTGAATAGGTTTAAACAATGAGGTCAGCGTAGCAAAAGTGTGGATAAATTAGACTGACGGTAAGCCTGTTATTAACCTAGCTCTCGGAGCGATCGTAATGTTTCAACTGCGCAGTTTCAAATCGCGACCCTTCGTATACGCATTCGCACAACTCTGCCTCTTTCCTGGAGTCATCTACAACAACTCGAAGTTATATGAACGGCTGAGTCTTCTATTGAGTCTCTGTCTGTTTCTTTCTGTCTATACATTTCTCTCTCTTTCTTGCTATTCCTATCTTTCTTTGTCATTCTTTCCCTTTTCTCTCTCTCCTCTCTCTATTGTCGTTTAATCTGTCTTTCTGTCGCTTTTCTTTCTGTCTGTATTAGCCTCACCATTTCTTTGATTTTTTTCTGTCTTTCTTTCTCTTTCTCTTTTTTCCTCTTGCTTCATCACTGTTTCTGTATTTCTATGCTATGCTTTACTCTCTTCCCTTCCCTGTCCTCGCCTTTACTACGTCTCTCCTCCTTACGTCCACTTTCCTTTCCCCACCTCATTGCTATAGTACACTACACAAAGTTACGTGTTACTCTGCTTACGTGTCTGAACTGACTGTAGTTACGATGCTCGCCTCAGATCGTGGGCATGCGGGTTCTAATCTCTCCTCACCGAGAAATTTTCTTTTGCCAAGAACATATTCCTTCTCTTTAGGTCTATTTATTTCTACTTCTTTCTGCTTCTCTTTTTCTTCATATATTTCTCATTTTATCTCTCTCTCTGTACTCGTAATTACACCCATCCGAGTTTTATTGCGTCCCACGCCGGACAAGTCGACGCAGCCGGAGAGAGCGCGCCTGGAACCCATGCTCGAAGAGCGAAGCCAAAGAGGAAGACTAGGACAGAAAGAGAGCGCGCTGGCCGAGTTATTGCGTTGCACGTGCTGGCCGAGTTATTGCGCTGCACGTGCTAAAAAGCTAGAAACCATTTATGATGATCACAGTTTTATGCGAATGCGTAACGGCATGATGAAAAGCATAACAGCTCCGCCATAAATATACATCACTCTCCACCACTGACGGCGAGTGCTACTCTATGCTAAGTTTTACGGTGTGAACCACTTATGCATATTTGCATTGTTAGAAGTGCCATGACAGGCGACGACTCCAGGTATTTGTGCTTACCTTGGCTAAGGGGCGACAGGATGTGTAGGAAGACGCTGACGGCACCTGAGCCCTGGCCGAAGAGCGTCACCTGCGAAGGATCACCGCCGAATTGGGCCACGTTGTCACGTACCCACTTAAGGGCGAGGTTCTGGTCCAGTAGGCCCAGGTTGCCAGGACAGACGCTGTCGCCGGTGCTTAGGAACCCTAAGAACGAAACAAGTGAGCATTAGTTAAGGGATCTTAAGTCTCACAGGACGATTCATTCTCTGTGTCACTGTGTTCCGGCACGCAGCTCACAGTTTATGAATGGACGCTGAAATAGGCTGGTATGGCTCTGCGTTACACGGGTGCGTCTTACGTAAAGTACCGTCATTAACGTAATTTCACCATGGAATTAATGACACCTCTTTTCCATTTGGAGATTCCCTCCAATGTGAATGATGAATCGCATTGACACTTGGTCGTGCTACTCAGCGTCTAGTACGAGCTAGAGTAAAAACAGGCGCCTTCCTTATTATGTATATTTGCACATTCATTGTCTTGTGATTTCGACGAAATCATGCACCTTGTTTTTTTTACACCAAAGCTGTATACGACTGGCACCCCGCGATTTGTTCGTCTCTGCAGGCAGAGAACTACCACACAAAGTAAAGGCAAAAGTGTTCATCTCTGTTGGAATTTTGCATGTGAGACGCATCCCAGTATTTGTTTCTTTAACAAAAAAAAAGCAGAAAGCAAATATGAAAACCGCGTGTAGATGATAAGGTGATTTCAAACAATACGAGACACGCAGCGTTTCTAGCATGCGTTTTCCGGCAAGTATTACATTTGCATGAACTCTAGTTGCTAGGAAGCGGCAATTGTAGCATACGAAGCTGGTATGCTGCCGTTGTCGATTCGTTGCTTCTTCGTTACCTCTACAGTGGTTACCGTGACGTCGCTACACTTTCATATGTAAAGTTTCATATGTGATCGCTTGCGCAGGTGAAAAAAAGCATTTCAATGATTCCTTTACTTCGTTCTGTGCCTCGTGCGAAAGATATAAAATGAACATTATTTCAAAAAGACTGTTGTTTTTTGATTTACAAAAACATTAATGCCGGTTATTACAACATACTTTTTCAATGTCTCTTTAAACGGAGTTATGCAATAAAATATCTTGGAGTCACATTCACTCATGATATTTTATGGTCTACTAACAATTCCTTAACATGTTCTAAAGCCTTAGAGCCACTTGAATATATTTGTGGAGCAATGCAGAATGCATGCCCCATAAATATTAAACTTTAAACGTATAAATCTCTTCTTCGCCCTATCATCGATTATGCCTCCACGGTGCGGTCACCTTTCAGAGAATGCGACGTACTCAGGGCAGTTAAAAAGAAAGCTGCTCGTTTCAGTTTTCACAGGTACGACCACCACTTCTTACTGTCATTACCATTACGTGAGCTAAAGCTAGAACCTATTTCGGTACGCCGTAATGTAGAATCATTATTATTTTTGCGCAACATAATAAAGCAGTCATATCACATTTAAAACACAGCCTTTTTGTCGTTTTCCAAGCCTTCCTTCACCCGTAACTTCCACGAGCTCAATCTTGCTTTACCTTTTCTTGCACGCACAGATACGTTAAAGTTTAGTTTCTTTCTCCGCACAATAGACATATGGAATTCCTTACCTCGTCACGTCCGATCACTCTTCCTCAATTATTATGTGACTATTCTTGTTAGAAAGTATTATATAACAAAAACTTAATTCCTTTATTGTTAAAATATTTCATTATTATTTTGTTATTTCTCATGTACTTTTTTCTGTTGCGATTTTTTTCTGCACTGTGCAATCCCACACCTGCAATAGCCCTTTTACAGGGCTGCAGTATGTAAAATAGGCAAGTAAATAAATAAATAAAAATAATAATTCAAAAGAAGTAGCTGCCTAGCAGAAGGTTTGATTTGTGCTGCGATAGTGCTATGGGTAGGCCAGCAATTAGCCCCTAGAACTATTACTGGCGTCGCTGTGGTAGCGGCAATGTGACGTCAGGCAAAACACAAGGACTCGCCTACTCCACCACCACTTGTCCCCTTTTTCTACAACCACCATGTATCCGCTCTTTAGCGAAATGTTGGCGCTTACTCAATTTCTCAAGTACAAAAAATTACTCAAGTACAAAATGAAACGATTCATAACAGTGAAACTATCCAAAGCTCTAAAAAGCTTTCATATTTTAGCTTAGGATCGGCAGACTCCCGTGCAGACAAAAGATTTATTGTGAAAATAATGACGCAGGACAACAAGACACTCGTTTTCATGACGTACACCAAGAAATTGGTTCTAAGAAAAAGCTAAGTGGTACTTACATGATTACAACGAGGCATAGACTCCGGGATTAGAACGTATGTTTGCCGAAGTATCACAAACCGAATTAGGACGCTTTCACTTCACTAAAAACATTGCGCTTTACCGAGCAAGGCATACGCTTTCATCTGCAAATATTCTAAATGATTTGACAGAATTGCTCTGTCTCCAACAGGAGAAATTATATGAATTTTACTGTCATTATTGCACACCGAACGTATTCGGAAAATAAAGAAAATAATACTGCCACGAACACACAAACATTTCGGAAATGTTTAGATATGTCCGCTTTCTCGAATCATGTGTACAGGTTTGTTCTCAACAGTAACCGGAGATTACGTAATCATATGCCCTGATTTGGGTGAAAAGCTGTGGTGATCTACCAGCGCATCCCATAAGGTATGTTCACTTCGCGTGGGAGCACCGTATAGCAACGGTACGAAGACATACGCCACAAAGTCGCAATGAACTCTTTCGATTGCGCACTCCGTGACGCAGGCCAAGTAATAAAAAAAAACTCCGCCAAGATGAGGCGATGACAGGTCTCGCACGTCATGTCCACGCACAGGTAATCAAGTGCAAGGAACTTTAATTTACGAGGTGGCTACCTAAACTAATCTAAACTAATAGGTACGAGCGTTACAGCAACGTTGCTACGATTCTGCACGAAGACAAAATCTTTCCGCACACAACCTCCACCACACTTACATATATATATATATATATATAATATATATATATATATATATATATATATATATATATATATATATATGTATATATATATATGCACCGTTGTGAATATTTGATTATTTTCGTGAGACATTATTGTCAATGATGGTGATCAATTGATTGCCCGCGTGAATATAGATGGCAATCCACGATCCACGATCCAAGTAGTATATTGGAGCATTATAAATAAAAATAACTCTGCGAATAAAGATGCTTATCTTCAAATAAATCTTAAGCAGGCAATACCACCAATCTGTCAACCTTTTAAGTATATGCAATGTCATGAAACAAATACCACAGCAATAATAGCAACTGACGTAGTTTTAGTATGGCTCAATTATCTTCTTAATCTTTGCTGCCGCCGCAGCCACGCCCATAAAATGTAATTGTAATGTCAACATCATCATCATGACTACATCCACTGCAGGACAAAGACCTCTCCAGTGTTCCGCCAGTCAACTTGGTACTGTGCTTACTGCTGCCATTTTATAGCCACAAACTTCTTAACCTCATCTACCCACCTATCTTTCTGTCTCCGCCTACCCAGCTTGCCTTGTCTGGGAATCCAGTTAGTTGCCCTTAATGACCAGCGGTTATCCCGTCTACAAAGCTACATGCCCGGCCCACGTCCATTTCCTCTTCTTGAATTGAAATAAAAGTGAGGCCAATTAGGCATAAATGAAGCCTGATCACCTAGTGACTACCATTTACTGCAATGAAAACATGAAATTATGCCAGCGGGCACCGCTGTTATAGGTTAAGGACTCACTGAGAAAAGAGCGTTATCACTTGCTGCCTCCCCCCCTCTCCCATCTTTGTTTTAACAATCGTGTTTCGCACAGTGTCATCTTGCACAACGAAGAAAACAAAGTACCAAGAATGCCGAGCCTGTAGTTTATTGTGACCACGACGACGTCCTTGTCGACGAGCTTCTGCGGACCGTACTGGCTCGCAGCTCCGGTCTCGAAGTTACCGCCATGCACGAACACCATTACGGGATAGGAAGGGGTCTGGCCATTCTGCGCACAAGCGAAAATTTCACTGTCCAAGAAGCTAAGAAGCATGGCATAACAAATATACTAAAATATAAAAACAGTTGCTTTATAAAACTGACCTGTGAGTTTTGAAATGTACACATGCACATTGCCCAGGTGAACTGTCTTTCACTCCCATAAACGTCCATTTTTCTATTTCTTTCCTCCTTTACATATGTGATCAAGATAAACTGTTGAAAATTTCCAAAGCGTACATGTATAACACGTTCTTAATGTTCATTCATGAATACGTCCTTTGGTTACAGTAATAATGGTACGCTCGTATTCAATTAGGCATAGACGACGTACGTCCATTGCTGCTCACCCTGTATCCTGGCGTGTAGATGTTGAGGAAGAGGCAGTCCTCGTTGCCGACGATTCTCCCCCGGTAGTCGAACTGCGGACATGCTGACCGGAAGGCAGTAGCGTCCAGCACTGAGCTCCAGCCAGGGTGTATCACGGGAGGCTACAAAGAGTTAACGACACGCTTGAAAGGACAAAGGATACGTCTGTAAACTGGCCGTAAACCAAGTCTATTGTTCTATATAAAGCATACAAGTTTATGTTTATTTAAATCTTACGAAAAAAAAAGAGCACATAGTCTTGCTTCTCTAGTTGCTTTCTTATTTTTTTTAAGCTCAGAAATACACGATATGTCGAAATTGCAACTAACAGCTATCCGCGACATGATGAGATAATACACGCACACAGTACACATACTTATATGACATCTAAAAACTATTTCTAAGCTCTTTTTTTGCAGTTCAACAAAATTGCAAGAATGCTTGTCTCGGGTATAATCGCCCGTGCATGTATGTTGCCTCCAGGAAGTTATGTTGTGATGACTGGGAAGTGTGACTTTGTGTGTGCATGCTCACTCTCTCTTTGCCTCTTTCTCCATCTTTTGAACTCCCCGATAAAGCGTGCGCGTTTATGCACACGAGAATCACTACGCTTCCTGTGACTGCATTGCTGAAGTTTTAACAGTTTGAGGCAAACTGAGATGCTTATTTGAGAGTTAACATCGTACACCTAAATGTAGAGTATTCTACGTAGGAGCATAGAGCCTGCACACTTGTACAACACTTGTACCGAACACTTCACAAGAATTTGCAGAGGCAGAGAGCCACATATGAACTAATTTGGCATATGAGTTACGTAAGCTATCTAACTAGTAGTCATGACAGCATCAGCAGTAACGTTGACCAGGATTTTAGCGGAATATCAATTTACTGTGCCCTCAATACGCGGTAGAAAGACAATCTCTGAAGCGCCTAACAGATCACCTAGATTCTGACCCTTTTCGGAAGAGAAGCTTTTTGGTGCATTGAACGTGTAGATCACGCCCATTGCAGCTTGAATGGCTTACTCGTATTTCTAAGCGAGACAGGTTTAGATTCCCGTCTTCAGAGTACCTACTAATGTATCTAATGTAAAGACTTCTGGGCGTTCTCTACGCCGAATGGGACAGTGTTTGCAGTGACTCACTGTGCTATATCGCAATCTCCCCTCATCATGCCCTTTTCTTTTCCTTTCATTCCCTTTTCCCTTACCACCGTGAGATGTAGCAGGCTAACCCTCTTTCAAAGCCAACCTCTCTTCCTTCTTCTCATTAAACACCTTCTTCGTCTTCTTTCTATCAGAGGGTAGCGGGGAATGAGTTGACATGAAATATATTTCTTTTTATGGTGGAGGGGCGGAGGGTGACATAGATGTCTGGCTATGATCACCATACTCCGCAATGGTTCACAAAGATTTGCATTTTACTAAGAGGGGCACGGTGTGTTATTACCCCGCATGATTGCAATGTTTGTCAAACCTGCTGGCTCTATCAGGCATGCACGTGTGACTGATTCTTTAGATCCCGAGTCCTTCGCCATTGTACAGGAAAATAAGTCAGCTACAGATTTCTGAGGCCACAAATAAAAGTGGCTCTAAATGAACTGAACAAGTATGGCGTGTGCGGGCTAGCGACGTCGTATATGTTGCTTCTTCTTAAAACGTGTGACTTGTTTATGCATGGGAAGCCAATATACGCAGCGGATCGTATGCCGCTGCCGACCGTCACGTCAGCGCTATATATGCCGAGCTACTCATTCCGCATTTCAAGTCGCGTGTTCTTGACGTATATGCTACGAATACGATGTGTAATATGAATGAGACAGTGCAACTGAACGCCTATTCTCCGCCCATCTGCACTAACCTGGCCTTTCTCCATGAATCTTCATGTTCTGACTTTGAATTGCTCCTTAGCCGTCACAGAAAGAGAGAAAAAAAACAAGAATATGGCAGTAATTCACGGCCGTCAGCGTATAAGGGTGTTCGCTGTTTGCTTCCACACTTGAACTATTCAACACCCCCGCAAAAAAAGGAGTGAGCTCAGTACCACGTCCTCCTTTGCATTAGTGAACGCTGAGGGAATGCTATGAACTCTTACATTGTCTAGTTTTGTTTATTTCAGTAACGCGAACAAAAATAAAAACGCATAATCTTAATTACGACAAAACATATCTATCTTCTTATGGCCCAGCATTTAAGTTGAAACAATCTCCGTAGGATAATGTTCATCAATTGGAGAAATACTGCTAATATTATTGATGATAATAACCCTTTTTATGGACATTAAAACATTAAACTTAGGTTACACATCATCAGACACCGGTACGGGTGCGATTTCTCTGGTTTTATGCGGTAGCACTTTACGGGTGACCTTTTTTCTTTCTGCAAAAGAAACGTTCTTTTTTTCTTTTTTTTGGCAATTCTTTTGGCACGCACCATGGCGCTCAGTGGCTTGATCACGTCTTGCGGCTTATATATAAATCTGATATATCCATCCGATACACATATATTCATCCGATTCACAGTCTGTCAGAGAAGTTACCGGTCAAGAGATTCAGGATAGCCCCGGCTGTTACATCGTGCAGTGACAACGTGCTGTAACCCCAACTTCAGACGTAAATTTGAGTTCGGGTGAAAAGACAGTGGATTTAAACGGGGACGGATAAACGGAAATCACGTGCATATATTCATCACACATGGATCATTCCGGGTCTCGGATTGAAAACTGCGCACGAAGAAATCGAAAGTGTAGATCAATGCCTCAGGCCAGTAATAGGTATAATTCAGAAAGTCAACGAAAACTCGACGCAAGTCTGTGCGAGTTGCATGTGGTTTGTAGGCTTCTTAAGAGAGAGAAATAAATAAAAGGAAGAGACAGGGAGGTTAACCTAGACGAACTGGTTTGCTACCCTGTATGGGGGTGGGGAAAAGGGTCGGAAAGAGGATAGAATTAGAGAGATCAAAAATAAATTAGAAAAAAAACACATGCGCACACATTCAGGGAGTTCCAATCACAGTCGTTTGGACAGGCCGGTTGAACGCAAGAAGCGCAGGAGCGCCTTCACAGCCTTCTTATGCGACATAAAGTCCTGTCGGCAGCGCAGGATTCTTTCTTCCGAAAGAGGCTGATTGTCCAGTTCATCTAGTGCATTGCAGAGTGACTGTCTCTGCGAGCAGTATTGTGGGCATTCACACAGAATGTGCCAAGTTGTTTCATCACTGCCACAATGGTCGCATGCAGCAGTGTCAGCCATTCCTATGCGGAACGCGTACGCGTTGGTAAATGCGACGCCCAACCATAATCTGCACAGCATAGTAGCGTCTCGTCGGCGTAATTCCGGAGGAATTCGAAGATTAAGAGTTGGGTCCAAAGTACCTAACCGTGCATGGATGAAATGTGACTCGTTCCATTGTGACGAGGTGCGCTTGCGAGCAAGCATGCGGAGTTTCCGTGCAGCGTCAGTTCTGGAAAGCGGAATTGATATTTCATCGCTTTCAGTATGGGCAGAACGGGCAGCTCGATCGGCCCGTTCATTGCCAATTATTCCACAATGACTTGGGAGGCATTGAAAGGCTATTTCATGTCCTTCCTCAATGAGTTGATGAGTCTTTTTTGCAATCTCAAATACCAGCTGTTCGTACGGGCCGTGGCGTAAAGGTGATAGAAGAGATTGCAATGCCACCTTTGAGTCACTGAAAATTGTCCATTTTTGTGGCTGTTGGTCGTCGATGCATTGCAATGCGGCACGAAGAGCTGTGAGCTCTGCTCCCGTTGATGTCGTAAGGTGGGAGGTCTTGAATTTTCTTGTCGTGTCTTTTATTGGTATAACAAATGATGCCGTTGAACTCTTCTGTAAAACAGAGCCGTCGGTGTATACGTGTATACAGCCTTGATACGTCTCGTAGAACAAGAGCAGAGCAAGCTATCTAATGGCAAAATGACGAACGTGGTCTGTTTGCTGGTAAAGAGGCTAGGTGGTGGCAGGGTGTCCGAGCAATATGCCTTATATGTGTCCTAAGTGCCTCAACGTCGATATGTGTCGTGATGAGGTGGTCACCGGCGATAGCTATAGTAGCCATTGTCGACGCACGACGAGGCAAGCCGAGGCAAATCCGGAGCACTTGGGACTGAACACTCTGTAGCGTACGAAGGCTTGTTTTGCTTGCATTGGTCAACGCCGGTAAACTGTACCGTAGAAAACCGAGAAAAAATACTCTGTACAGATGTAGCATTGCACTGGGAGACATTCCCCAAGTCTTCCCTGCCAAGAACTTCAGTATATTACAGATGTCCATTAACCGTTTCTTCATGTACGAAACGTGATCGCTCCATGAGAGATTCCTGTCAATTATGACGCCCAAAAACTTGTGCGATCGAACGTATGGTACAGTTTGACCATTGATGCTTATAGTGTACTTATCCATAGGCTTTCGTGTAAAAGCTACGAGGGCGCATTTCTCGGAAGAAATTTCCACGCCTCGATTTCGTAGGTAGCGTAATGTTTCAGTGGCAGCTTTTTGAATTCTCCCTCGTAACTGCAGGCGTGTTACAGCCGATGCCCAAACGCAGATATCATCTGCGTACATTGATAGCCTGACCGTGCTTGGCAGATGCTCATTGAGAGGAATTAACGTAAGATTGAACAGCACAGGGCTGAGTACGCCACCCTGGGGGACGCCACGGTGGCTGTAATGTGGAGAGGTTGGACCGTCTTCAGTGCTGACAAAGAAGGATCGCATTGACAAATAGCTACGTATCCAGCGATACATCCGACCACCTACTCCTATATCTTCGAGAGCGGTGAGAACAGCTTCATGCGTAACGTTGTCATACGCCCCTTTAACGTCTAGGAACAAAGATGCGCAGAGACGCTTACGGCCTTTCTCGTGTTGGACGTAAGTGACCAGGTCGACTACGTTGTCAATCGATGCTCGACCACGCCGAAAACCTGCCATGACATCTGGGTAGATGTTGTTCTACTCCAAGAACCACTCCAGGCGTCCCAGGATTATCCTCTCCATAACTTTGCCTACACAACTAGCCAATGCGATCGGACGATAAGATGAGAGCTCCAACGGTGACTTGCCTGGTTTCAGAAGTGGAACTAGGCGACTTGTCTTCCAGCT